CCCCCCGGGATGCGGCACACAGCCCCGACACTCCCGGCAGCCAGAGCTCCCACGGGAAAATTCCTGCTTCAAATTGTAATCCGACATCCTTAAAAAAAAGATTCGTCTAGTTCTGATACAAGTCTTACTTAAACAGAATCTATTCAAGAAAACCCTGTGTGTGGTGAAAGCCACCTTTCTGTCACCTTGTGGATCAGCTGACAGGCTTACCTTAAACCTCTCTCTTACCCTCCCTGCCCGGAGATGCAGGCGTAGGTGATGCTTCTGGCAGGGGATGGGAGCCCCTCGGGCTCAGCCCCAGCGGGGGGATAGGATGTTGGAGCGACTTCCCAAGTCACTCCACATTTCTAAACTGTTGGCGTTTCCAGGCGCCTGAAAACGCGTGGAGCCCGGCTGCTGTGGGTCTGACACGAGTGGGCTGGCTGGCACTGGGAGGATGGCTGGCTGGCTCCAGGATTTGCTGGACGATGGGGATGCTGCAGCTCCCACCGACTGGGACCAGAGCCCCTTCGGCCTCCCCATCGCTGCCTGGGGTGCTCAAGGCTCGCTTGTACTGCCTGTTGCTTTTCCTCTAGCCCTGGGACCAGGCTGGGATAACCTCAGCCAGGCTGAGAAGGCAGTTGGGATAGACAAGACCTCCTCGATGAAGCAGATTTATTAAGAAAGCCCCAGCTAAGCTTTCCTTGTGTTAGTCTTGCTCAGGAGCAGTGGGGAGTGTGGAGGTGAAAAGTTCACATGGGGCTAAGGAGCACTTTGGAAGTCTGTCGCAGAGTGGATAAGACCTAGTTTATTGGCAGGAGTTTGGGTATTAATGGGACTCTTTGATCGCTTCTGGAGCAGGGCTTTCCTGGCTGCCTGCATCTGCCGGAGCTGCTGTGTGTTCTCCCTGAGGAATGACATGGAACCGCTGGAGATGGCAGCCAGCCCTGCGGCCGAGCTGTCTCATGCTCCTCCCTGGCTGGGGGGCTGAAACATGTGGGAGCTTGGGAAGGGCTCACAGTTAGGGTTGTTTTTTGATTCCTCTCTGCAGGAACCCCTTTGTCCGGACTGCAGCCATGGCCACCTCGGCGAGCTCCCACCTGAGCAAAGCCATTAAACACATGTACATGAAGCTGCCGCAGGGGGAGAAGGTCCAAGCCATGTACATCTGGATCGATGGGACAGGAGAGCACCTCCGCTGCAAAACCCGCACACTGGACTACGAGCCCAAGAGCCTTGAAGGTGAGAGGGCAGGTGCAGGATTCACAGCCCCTCACCAGGTGGAAAGGATGCCACTTCTCTCTTTCTATGCCAGAAGGATGGTATTTAGGGAAGACATTCCTCCTCACCCCCTTCCAGTTACCTCTTTCCCCAGGTACCCCAGGGGAATGTTCCCAGCTCTCCAGATGTGGAGTCTCAGTGAGATGCCTGGGGTTGGGAGCCTGTCACTGGTGCTGTCCCCACTGTGGAGGGGCCGTTGGCAGGGGCTGGGGGCTGTTGGCAGGGGCTTGGCAGCCCATTGACTCTCAAGTACTCGTTTTGGCCGGAAGTAGTTTGGCAGAAGAAAGTGGAGGGGAAAGAATGGAGCTATCCGGTGTAATTAAGAGCTTGTGTCCCTCAGAACAAACAGTCCCAGCTTACACAATAATAGCATTAGGATTTTCCCCAGGTTGCCATGGTGCTGGCTGGAGACAGTTATGAAATGAAAATACTGTGTGTGACTGAGCAGAATTACCTTTTTTTTTTTTAACTTTTTTTCGACTCCCCTTCTTCTTTTGCCTTTTCCCTCTAAGGGAGTGGCTGGTACAGCTCCTTTGAAATCTTTATGCTTCCCATCCTCCAGCTTTCCCTGGGGATATGGAGGAGATAACATTGTCCGGGTGGAGTTCACAGCTGTGCTTTGAGCTGGAGGGCATTGCACAGCCCGGAGGGGTGGGCAAGGGGCCACGCTGGCCATACTCCCCCTCCATGTGAGATTCCACCTCTATGTGATTTGCTTTTGCACCTTCTCTAGCCCATGCAACATGGATAAGGGTATTCCATGGCTCCCCTCATTCCTGTAGCTTGAAAATGTCTCATGCTCTGTCCTCCCCCGGCTTGCCCAGCCGAGGAGACTGGTGCTCTGCTCATCCCTGTGGTTGTTGTGACATGGAAAATGTCCTCAGTGCTGCTCGGTTCACTTGGGCTTGGCCAGCAGCCCAGCAACTTGTTATTTCTCAGAGTGTCTGGGGAGTTGCCCTCCTCTGGTTTTGCTTGTTTTGGGTTTCTTTTTGCTTCCCCCATTTGGAGCAAAATCAGCTGAGCTGGGATTAAACATATTGTGGGCTTGTTCTCTGTAAGCATCTTCACCTCTGTCTCACTGGAGGGTGGCAGGGAGCCCATCCTCCTGATGACAGAGGACCCTGGGTCACTGTGGCTTGTTGCTCTCTCTGCTGCAGATCTCCCGGAGTGGAATTTTGATGGCTCCAGCACCTACCAGTCTGAAGGCTCCAACAGCGACATGTACCTGCGACCTGCTGCCATGTTTCGGGACCCTTTTCGCAAGGATCCCAATAAACTAGTTCTCTGCGAGGTCTTCAAATACAACCGCCAGTCTGCAGGTGAGTGGACCTTCTCCTGGTGGAGGTGGTGTTTCTGGGGAGGGGAAGGGAAGATCTGTCCAAATGCTGTCCCTGTCCTCAGCATCATACACGATCCCAAAATAATCCCTGCCCTGAAAGTATAGGGCAAATGAAGTGCTGGTGGTGGAGAAGGGGCTGGTCCTGGGATTCTTCACCAACACTGCTGGGATTCAAACTGTAAACAAAGTGGATATGGGGAATGGAGGTGAAGATGTTAATAAGTCTTATGCTGCTTTTCCCTTCTAGAATCAAATCTCCGACACACCTGCAGGCGGATTATGGATATGGTGTCCAACCAGCAGCCCTGGTTTGGGATGGAGCAAGAGTACACTCTCCTGGGGACAGATGGACATCCATTTGGCTGGCCATCCAATGGGTTCCCTGGACCCCAAGGTAATCTTTCGGGAGTCTGCGCTGGACCAAAGCAGGAGCATTTGAACTTAATCCGTGTGACACAGCTTCAGGCGAGCTGAGAGACTTGAGGTGTTTCTAGGACTGAAGGTGGACAGTAGCAAGCAGGATATTGGAAAAAAACTAACCCTGCGATTAAGATCACTCCAAAAAGCCTAAGATGGGGATTGGCCACATACAAATTTGCTGCTCGGTTAGTCTGCAGGGCTTTAAACTCATGGGGGACTTGTTCTCCATCAGTGTTCCACTCTGCTAGTGTTTCCATGAAAAACAGATTTTGGGGGTTTTCCACACACCCTGAGCCTTTGGAGAGTTCTTCCCTGTGCGTGCTTGGTCTTCACTGAATTTAAGGCTCTTTCCTTCTGGAGGCTGATGTTCACCTGTGCTGTTGCAGGTCCTTACTACTGTGGTGTAGGGGCAGACAAAGCCTATGGCAGGGACATTGTGGAGGCTCACTACCGAGCGTGCCTTTATGCTGGAGTGAAAATTGGAGGAACCAACGCAGAAGTGATGCCAGCCCAGGTAAACTGTTTTAGATGTTTCACGGTACAAGAGAGTAGGACAGAAAAATCTCAGGCAGTGGGAGCTGTGGCTGCCTGCTCTGTGTATGTGTGTCAAGCATCAGGGGGTGGGAGGTGCCTCACAGTGGGTGTCTCCACATTTCTGAGCCTGTGAACTCCTCCTCCTTGCAGTGGGAGTTCCAGGTGGGACCATGCGAAGGGATTGAGATGGGGGATCACCTCTGGATCGCACGCTTCATCCTCCATCGGGTGTGTGAGGACTTCGGTGTCGTTGTGTCCTTCGATCCCAAACCCATCCCTGGGAACTGGAACGGTGCTGGTTGTCACACCAACTTCAGCACCAAGAGCATGAGGGAAGACGGAGGTCTCAAGTAAGTGCTTTTAAGATGAGCCAGTGGCATCTGTACTAGGCAGCAAGATTTTGCAAAGCTTTTGATGACATGGGAGATGTTGCTCTGGTGCTTAGTGTTACATTTGAGCCTTATTCTGGATGATTTTTTGTGATTGTTTTGGTTTTGTGGGTGTCTTTTTTAACATATATTTTGTATAGCAATACACTCTGACCTTGGTGCTGGGTGGGCAATTCAGCCAGCAGCACAGCTCTATCCGTGCCGACAGAAATGGATGCAGCTATCCCTAACAGCCTCTCTGGCTTCTCATCTGCTAGTGCTGGAAACAAATAAACTCAGCACAGGCCTTTTTAAAATGATTTATTTTATATAGGCATGATGAAAGAAAAAGACCATTTGCTTCTGTCTAGGCAAGGCTGTGAAAATGGATGCCATGTTTTCTCGCCTGGAAAAGCAAACCCTGAGTTCCTCTGTAGGAATGATGCACTGAGTGCTGGCAGGGACCCTGTGGCACTGGGTTGCAGTGGAGCTGTGTGAAGAGATTCTTCCTGGCAGCTCGGGTTTTTTTGCCTTAATCTTGGTGATGCCCCGAGATAATGAGCCAACCTGTGACCCTGTGAGCTTCCCAGATAGAAACTTCTGTGTTGAGAGATGTCCCCTCTGAGAGCAGGTGGCAGTGTGCCTGGGAGGTTTGGCTGCGGGTTGCACTGGTGGTGTCTGACAGACAAGCACTCCCAAGGGATCCTGTGGGATTTGGCCATGAGGATCTTTTTCCAAGAAGCAGCCTGGATCAGCAGTTGGGAGTGGAGAGAAGTTCTGTGTTGGGGTGATCAGCGAAGTGGATTTCATCATGAAGTGGCTTGGGGACAGCTATGAATCTTGTGTCGGTTTGATGCAACAGTCTAGAGTAGCTCAGCTCATCCTTGAGTTGACCGGTCAACTTAACTGTCCCTCATACACTCACCGTGTCTTCCCCTCTCCCTTCTCAGGCACATCGAAGAGGCCATTGAGAAGCTGAGCAAGCGTCACCAGTACCACATTCGTGCCTATGACCCCAAGGGGGGGCTGGACAATGCCAGGCGCCTGACAGGTTTCCACGAGACATCCAACATCAATGAGTTCTCCGCTGGCGTGGCCAACCGCGGCGCCAGCATCCGCATCCCCAGGAACGTGGGCCATGAGAAGAAGGGCTACTTTGAGGACCGCCGGCCCTCCGCCAACTGTGACCCCTACGCTGTGACAGAGGCCCTCGTCCGCACGTGTCTCCTCAACGAAACCGGAGATGAGCCTTTTGAGTACAAGAACTAAGCAGACTGCGCCCACAGACACCGCCTTCCCCCCGTGCTTCCCACACCCCTAAACTTCCCTTCTAGATGTAATCCCAAGGGTACAAGATAACATGTTTTGTGTCTCAGTAACTCTTGTTGTCTTGAGGTGGGGAGGAGGGCAAATTTAGTTTTATCGATGTCTGTTTGTCGTTGACTCTTCAGAAGACGAGAGCAGGAGATGGTGTTAGAGAACTTTTAACCACTGTTTTATTTTTTGTCTAATTCATGTGTACATCTGATGGGATCCAGTGGCTTCCAGGGACAGACTGCACATGCAGAAAGCCAGTAGGAGAATGGAAAGCTTAAAACTATAGCCAACCTCCCCGAGAGTCAGATTTGGGTGTCAGCCCCACTGCTGGCTCTCTGCACACTAACGGTTCTCTAAGGTGGGTGCCTTTCTGCGGAGAAGGGAAGATGGGAGCTGTGATGGAGCTCCATGTGCTCCTGCCTGTATGGGGAGATGATGGGGAGATCATCACCCTCTGGCCACTCTGAGGTTTCTGGGAACCTTCTGGCATTGAGCTCAGCGTAGGAGCGTTGAGGAGAACTCCTGGTTCTGTCACTGGAAGTCAACCGGTCTCTGGCTCATAACACAGAGTGAAGTAGTATTTTTCTATTTAAATATAAAAACTGCGAAAAAAAATTCTATATGAAAGTGTTTTTTCTTAAAGAGATGACGTTCCAATGCCTCATCCACCTAGAGCAGGCAGAGCTCTTGCGGATGCTGTCGGAGGACCTCCAGGTGGGACTGAGGGTGAGCTTGGAGGGCTCGGTGGAGGAGACTCTGATGAGATTCATTTCAGCGTGGAGTGGAGCTTGCAGGAGGCAGTTCCCAGAGCTGGGAAGCCCAGCAGAAGCATTTATCACTGTCACTCGAGCGGCCACGGCGCTCACGAGCGCGTAGATCAACGAGAGGAAGGTGTCCTGAACTAAGAGTTGACCGGTCAACTTAACTGCGTTCCGGACAGAGCTGTGGGTGTGTTCCAGCGGGGCTAGCATGTCACTAAAGCAGGGCTTTTGATAAAGGAGAAAAAAAAAGAGAAGTTCTAGATTCTTTTTTTTTCCTAATATTTTTAGTATCTCAAACTGACTGGTTTTACAGAGACCGTTGATGCCACTGTTGTGTCCTGGCTCTCGGGCTGCTTGCCATCCAGCCCTGATGGGGGGCTAGGAGAAGGGAGAGGCCACTTGTCCCTCCCAGACAGCCCTGGCACCCCCAGCTCATGCTGGGGGGTTCAAACGTTCCAGGATTTTACTCTTGGGTATCTTGGATGGTGCCAGTTATATTCCGTTGCATTTGGACTTCTTCCGAATAGGTTTTTTTTTTTATAATAAAAAAAGAAAAAAAGAACAAAACCTTAATTCTGACTTCTGCAGCCTCTTTTCTCTGTGTGTTGCCTTCACCATTGGAGGAGTGTTTGATAGCGGGTAGATGTGGCTTTTCATTTGTGGGGTGTTTTTTGCAGGGAGAAGGGGTCTGGCAATCCACATGTGCTCTCCAGAAAATGGGGATTTGTAGGTGGCTGTTGGTTCTCTGGTGAGTGATGGTCCAGCTGTGACTCCAGTGGGGCTTTTTTACTATGGGAAAGGGACTGGGCCATAGGGAGGGGAAGGTTATGGAGTCAGTACAGGTGTTTGTGCATCTCCCCAGCCTCCTCCACATGAGCTCTACAAGATGTACAAATCCTACAGAAAGTAAAATTCCAGCAAACTTCATGTTAAAAGGGCCTTTGTGGAAGAAGACCCTTTTGCATTCTCCCTTATGGAGAAAATGCTGCTCATCCACCTTTGGCCTAAACCCAGGCACTTAGAAAAGTAACCAAGGTGGCAGAAATGTGTCATGTTGCTCCCATGGTGCTTTCCATTCCCCAGCTCCCCAGGAGGTACTTCCTTCAGGGGTGGATCCTTTAACCATGCCCATCTTTAAATCTGGATTAACCACACTCCCGCATCCTGCTGGCCTGATAAGGCTGTTCCTGCCATCACATTTTTGTGGACCAACAGTTCTTTTGCATCTGCCTGTGTCTGTGCAGGGTGGAGCATGACTGGCACAAAAGCAAAGTGTTCTTTCATCATGACATGGCCACAAGGACTCTGGCCTCTGTCTAGGCTGGAGCAGGAGTACTGCATCCAGGAGAAACCCACACTGCTTTGGGATAACTCATGAACCCAGAAATGTTGAGGTTTTCTGCAGGTGGGGGCAGCTACTGTTTGTTCTTTCAAGAATATGTTACAGAGATAAAATTGGATTACACCAGAATTAAGGAAACTTGTAAAGGCATTTGTGCAGAAGGAGGGACAAGACATGGGAATGCTTTTGGGGTTTTTTGAGATTCCTGTGTCTCCAAACACTGTGAATTCTTGAGGCTGGACCCCTGTCCCTCCAGAGACTCTTTTCTCCTGGGGAATTTTGGCCACAAAGCATCACCCAGGCAGTAGCTGATGGGCAGCCAGGTTTGGTCATAGAATCATGGAATGGTTTGGTTTGGAAGGGACCTTAAATACCATCTCATTCCAACCCTCCTGCCACAGACGGGGACATCTTCTACTAGACCAGGTTGCTTGGGATAAAGTCCTTGGGATAAGCAGTATCTCTCTGTGCCTCACAGAGCCTCATTGATGCAGAACACCATTTATGTGTCCCCACAGAAGATGCCAGGCTGTCCATCAGGGTGCTAAGGGGAACAGGCATCAGTCCTTTGCTTCTCCAGCTGCCCTGAACATAAATTTAGGTCAGGAGCTTGATGCTTAATGGTTCCTCTTGTTCTCAGCTGAGAAAGCATTTATCCACTCACTGCACAATTACCCGACTGAAAACAAGGTCGGAACAACATTGTGCTGCGAAATGGCTTTTTAGATGATTATTAAAAATGTAGGAAAGAAAAAGATTATAATGAAATAGAAGGGAAAAAAATTCCCCTCATTCCCTCTAGACATTGTTTTCTGACTTTTTGCCTAAAGCCTTCTTGCTGAATCTGCTTTATAGTTACCTAAACATCATTTCCCAATTTTATAGGGTAGGGAGACCTCCTCTTAAGGCCATGGGGCCCTTACAAATTGAGCCTGAAACCCTCAGAAGCTGAATTCATGGCTTATGTGTTCATAGAAAACATTTTGACTTTTGATCTTAGCCTCCCTGGAGGAAGCGAATCCCTTTTCTCCATACTCACACATCCTTAAAATGTGAATAATGATATAGAAACATTCACTGGAAACAAGAAAATGCAAGGATTGGTCCCAAAGGGTTTGCTGGGCACATGGAAGCATCAGGAACTGCTCCAAATGAAGGAGACAAAAATAGCACCAGCTTTTTGAAGTGCCTGTTGGTTGTGCTCCCTTTTAATCAAACACCAGCTTAGGAGACAAGGCTGCTCCAAAACGATTAATATATCTGCTCACACGCCAGGCTTTTCCCCATAACTGAATTTTAAAGCAATCAAAATAAGATTAGCCACAGCTCCCTTCAAATACAGCCTGGAGCAGATGAGCTAATCAAGATCACACTTGCAGCATCTTTATTGTGCCAGGCCCTGCAAGCCCAATTACCATCAGGACTTCCCTCTTGCTTCAAAGCCCCATGCATCAGGTATGGCTGCTTGGATTTCTTCTACCATTTCACACTTCCAGAGTGCCCTGATGCTGCTCCAGTATCCACATACCACTTCCCTTATTTCTGTGTGTGGTTTTTTAATGCTATTTGATCTTCCTAGGTTACCCTTTTTTGGTAGATCAGCCTTCACATGCTTACAGAGTCCCTGGCTGAACACACCTGCCCCTGAGCATGGCTTCTGGAGGAGAAATCAGCTGGCCTTAGGTGGGTAAGGATTTGCTGAGCTGTCTTTTGGATGCCCTTAACTGGGAGAGGAGAAGAGGCACTTCTTGTTGCTAGGCAAAACTGTTTTTATTTCTCTGAGTCTGTTTTCCCCTTTTCCTGGGATGTTGATATTGGCCCACGTGAGTGTCCTGCATCTCCTTCAGCCCATGAAGTATGGGAAGGGATGGTATCAGGAAGGGAGCCAGGTGCAGACTGTTGAGGGAGTGATTTGCAGAGCTCTGCAAGAGCTTCTGCTTGGGCTTAAAGCTCATGTTATCAGAGCAGCCCTGCTTTGCTCTCTTGAAATGCCTCCTGGAGGTCCATCAGCTCCTCTGATGTGGTACTTGGAGAAGTCTCAGCTGAGATCTACACTTGCTGTTTGTCAGGTGATAAAAGCCATAAGAAGTGTGGCTAGAGGTCTTTTGCTGCCTTGAAGGAGGCCAGGGCATGCTCTGGAAGGGAGCTGGAGCCCATTTCACTGAGGACAGGTCAAGTGTGGCTGGTTGGTAGGTCTTGTGTGACTCAGTTGAGAAAGGTGGTGGGGCTGGGGGGGGAATCCTGCATCCTAGACATCAGTAATTCGGCTTCAGATGAGCTGGGATTTCATCCCACTTGTTCAGTTACTGATTAAACTGAGGACAGCTGCTTAGGAAACAAGTGGAAGCTCTTGAAAAGGAAGATCTCCTTCGGTCTGCCTGGCTTCCCCAGCCAGCTGGATGCAGGGCTGGCTTATGAGTGTGTCCTCCACTCATGAGTGGTTCTCCAGGCTCTTCAGCTGGGACTGAAGTGCCTGGTTTCACGCCTGGTCTCATGGGGCTTATAAATTGAACTTTGAGTCTTTGCTTGCTGATAAAGGGGCTGGTCCATCTGTAGGATCTGCTTTTCCTGAGGCTATGTAGATTAAGCAGGATATCAGTCACTGAGTGATGACTCATCTAGACACCTAAAGATGTCACTTGTTAATTGTCTGGTTCATGAATGGTGATGTAAGTTTGCTCCTTGTGACTCTGCTCTGAGCTGGGTGTTTGGGGACTGTTCCCCTCTCTTGTGTAATGACCTCTGATGAGAACATGCAGAGAGGGGCTCTGGGCAGACCCAATCCTGCTGCTCTCCACAACAAAGCATCTTCATCCCTAGTGGGAAATGATGTGGATCAGAGCATCTCCCAGCTGCCTCTGGAAGTGTCTGACCTGTGTTCAAAAGGAATGAGATTCAGGGCTTGGCACTTCTTGTGGGTTAGCCCCCCAAAACCTGCAGTGACCCTGCACACAGCATG